TTCTAATGACTATAAGATTGTCAATTTATTCCAAAAATTGGAATATTAACAGCAAATATTAATTTATCAATTATAAGCATAAATTGATTGATATTTTTTTAAATTATCAACAAACAACAATATACAATTTTTTATTATGTTAAATAATGAGTCTTTAGCTTCCTATTGAGTGTAAGATCATTCATTCAATTTGGTCAAATATTTATTTACAAAATTTTTAATTTTAATGATTAATAAAAAAAATTTTTTTTTTCATTTATTGTTTAAATTTTTATATATGGAAAAATTATGAGAAGTTACAAACTGATATAATTCAATTTAATTTATATTTATTAATAAAATTTTATTATATATAGAAAGATTATCTAAAAATCTATTTAAATTACATGATTCATGAACATACAATAAAGTTAGAGATTACTGGTATGATAATATGAAAAGAAAAAAAAATAAATTATAATGTTAACATAGGACTCAGTGAGATCACAAACTTTTTCTTCTTTTCTTTAGTGGTACATTGTTCAGCCATATAATCATTTAAAATAATTTATTCATATCTATATAATTAATTTTTAACATGTAACAAATGATCAATTAAATATTGACAAAAAAAAATCTAATATTGAATATATTAATTGATACCTAATAATAATATTTAATAGTTTTCTTTTTGTTATCTGTTCATTCAATTTTGAGATTATCTTGTTTTTCTTATTTTTGTCATTAATTCATACTATCTTAAAAATTCTTCACAATAAAAATAAATAAACAAAAGTTCTAAATTTAAAGATTATTATCATCTATATTAATAATTATTAATTTATTAAATTGAGAACATTCATCAATATATTAAAATAATTTTTTTTTGTAACCTTTTGAGTAGAAACTCCAATTAAAAGATTGTGTCTTCATATATTGTCTAATCATTATTAATATACTGTAACAAAAGTTAGAAAACAATAATGCGAAAAAAAATTGTTGAAAGGTTCTTATAAATAAATAACCTATAAAACCTTTTTTTGCTTTTAATCTCTTCCCTCTCCAATAAACCCATACAAACCATATATTTTCTGAAAGCTCTCGATGTACTCTGTCTTATCATGCTAAAACGATCTCAATAGAGCTGATTTCTGAAAAGAATTAAACTTCCGAAGTCAAAAGCCATAGGTTTCTTTGAGAGGCTGTTACTCCATAAATGGAAGAGCTACAGGTGCATAAAGCTCACGTTTTAAAGGTCAAAGGCAAGTGAATGTTTTTACTTAGAGGCACGAAAATTGTTTAATAATGAGTTTATGTTCAATTCATTCGCCAAAGTCCGTTGTACAGAAAACGTGCCATGTTGATCATATATTAAAATCAGTCACTGTCAAAATGTCGTCCGACTAATATTAATATAAGAATTAATGGCATTCACGAGATTCATTAAAGGGTTACACATCAAAATCAGATGAACAACACATGATTTTAACTTTTTTTTATTTTACTTTTGCATATATTAAATTTATTCTTACAGAAAGTGTAGGACTAAAACGTAAAAATCAAAGTTTATTATTTACTACAGACTATGAAAAAATCATTTTCAGTATCAACTTTATATTATTTAACAACACTCTATTTATAGGTCAGGAAGAGAATTTAACAAAAGTTCGTAGAATGGGTCCTCCATCATCAGTTGCTGCACATTGTGAATTTTTCAAACAACAGACAAGAGATTATTTTGAATGGACGTCCACCCAATTGTATTGGTCCACCAATTTTCTTATATCATGAGGTTTTTTCAAAATTTTCTTCTGATTTCAATAATCAAAATCTTGATTTATCAGATGGACTTTGTACATGGACAAGTAAATTAATTAATATTATGGCTAATGAACACATCAATGAAGATTCACATAAGAATGCATTTATTGATCATATTACTGAATTTATTGGTAAGCTTCTTGGGATAAAAATTGAGGATGGAAGTAGCAATGATGGAATGTTAATGGTAGAAACTGCTTGTGGTGAAAATGGATTATGAATTATTCATGAAATTAAAAATGAAATTGGTGAAGGAGGAAGTGATCCAACAATTCAAGTAGCTCTTTCATATTCAAAGTATTGGGCACAAGAACAGGTATATTCTCTATATATTGACAATATCCATAATGCATTTTCTTTCATTAATTATTAATTAATTATTTCTAATATAGCATATATAGCATGATAAAATCCGAGCTGTGTGCACTGAATTAAAAAAAGATTGAAAACTATGAAATCAAAGAGTTCATATTTTTTCTCAAATAGAAGAAGGAGGTGATATTTGAGGCAAACCAGCTAAGGATATAATTCTTAAAGACATTATCAGAAGTAAAATTGAAAGAATTAAAGATTTAGAGGCAGAGGTAGAAGAGTTAAAAGAAAGAGTAAAAATAGAACAGGAGCAAGTTAAGGAAGTATTGACAGTTGGTGAAAAATGAAGCAAAGCTCAAGCAGAAGATATAAAAGAAAAAAACAAGAAATTCAAGAGTGCTAGTAAAAAAATTTCTCATCTAGAAGCCTGAGTTGAAAAGTTGGAGGAATAATCAAGTCAAAAGAGCAAAACAATAGAAAAACTAGGTAAGCAATTAACTGATAGTGAAACACAAAATGAAAATCTAAAGAATTCTTTCTACTTAGATAATAAACCCTTACCTGCTTTACCTGTAGAAGAGAACAAGTTATCAACTAAACAGAACATTTTTAA